TGACCCGTGATAAGCTTCAAGAATTGGGTTGGGAGATCTTACCTCATCCTGCCTACAGTCCCAACCTCGCCCCATCTGATTTTTACCTGTTTGGACCACTCAAAGACGCCCTACGTGGAAAAAGATTTGCTAACAATGAAGTTAAGGAAGCGGTGCAAAAGTGGCTTCAGGGTAAATCGAAAGAATTCTTCGCCAAGGGAATTGGGAAGCTGCAAGGAAGATGGGACAAGTGCATAACTGTGCGGGGAGATTATGTTGAAAAATAGCCTTAATTTTGAAAGATTGAAATAAACCGTTTTTGAGTTATAGCCATTTGTCTCTTTACTTATTGAATGACCCTCGTATGTACATTTAGAAGAGTGACATCAGCGTTCTGCGTAACTACGTGCATGGCATTAATATTAGCTTCTCAAGTTCTCAACAGTATACACGAAATGTCTGATTTGCAGTCAAACGCGCAGTTAATGATTTATATGTCAATGTGTTGCACTTTAGAATTTAAATGGTAACTACCTTTAATTGTTAATATATTTTAAACAGTTAGCCGTTAGTGCGTACAAATGTTCAGTTGGATGTTCTATATAAGGTAGCAAAATTTCATAAGTTAGCGTAACGCTTTAAGAGTTCTCCTCACAGTGTTGTTAACTTTTTGATATTTTCGGTTCAAATTTATAAAAATTTGCGTATTCTTAGCAGCTTCTCCTCTAATCTCAGTCTTTTTTCCGATTTTGATCAGTTTGACTTGGTACGTCACTCTACTGGACTATTAAATCAAACTCTACCTGTCTATTACAATTGTGATTAAAAAATGGGCATATTTTCTAAGTTTTACAACTTATTACATTTATATCCTTTGATGCTACAAATAAAATTTGGACACCATAAAGTGATAAAAAATAATATAGTGCCACCTCACTTTAAAAATATTATAATCCAGCCACTGTGTAATGAAGTTGCAAAAGTTAATTCGACCAACTTAAGGCAGAAACTTTTTTCAGACAGGAAATTTATTTCCCAAAATGGAAGAAAATCATATATCAGGAGAATAACTGTTGTTACGTTCCGAACAGGAATATTTTTCAAAATTTCCTTTGTAGTTTTGACCGACCGGATGTGTATCGATAATGCATATTGCATTCTGGGAACACCCTGATCGAACGCAGTAACGGTCTTTTATGTTATTAGATAGACTATCTTCTGGCGACTAAACTAAGATTGTTAATATAACACATTCCTTCCTTAAAATCAACGTGGTCCCACGGCCAAAATCTTAGATTATTTCATTTCTCCGAACCGCCGAATATAAATGGAAATCACACTCGTGTGGTCCGATAACGCCAAGCGTTCTAGAATGTTCCACAAGGGCCCACGACGCAATATAAAATTGTAATAGAAATTGTCTTTGTAACACTACAATATTATATAAATTGGCCATAGTATTTCATTATACCGTTATTATAAATACGCATACGTCAATCAGTCCTACAATAGTTACAGTACCGAGCGCAATTTGACTTTAATAATTGTAAACCGAAATAGATAATGTTTCATTCTAAATTTTCATAATGTGTACAGATTAACATTTTATATTGTATTGGTTATGCATGTAAAATTATTCAATAGCTAATTAACAATCCATAGCTCAAGAGTAAAGGAAAGAACTATATGTATAGAAAGAGAGGAAGATAAAAGCTGGACAAGGGAGGAACACATGCACCCACCATCACCGCCTAATTAACGAATCACGGTCTCTTACGCATTGGCCTCGCAGCCTAATTCGTTAGGCGCATATCAATGCAACATAAACAATTTCGGACTAGGCCCACTCTGGTCTTCTCCGAGAGGTGCAAGTTGCGATACTCTTCGGTGTATAATCGCGAGGTGTGTGTCGAGGGTCCGTGAAGTGGTTTAGAGACGAGTTTGTTCTTGAATTTGTTAAAGTGCAAAATTCAGACAAAGACTCTATCTTCACGTAAATATCTTCACATAAAGCTTTCGCGTTAAATAATCACGTTAATAATTACGTTAAATTTTCAATTCAATATATTATTTTATTTTTCTATTCAATTATATTCAAGTTTATTCTTTTTAATTTTTAAAGTATAATTTTATTTTATAGTTTATTTGAATTTCACAATTGGTCAGTTCAAAATTCTCATTGGTGGTGCGCTTACATGTGTGTGTGTTCTTCCTCCAGGAACCAGACGCAGTTGGTATTTCACATTTTACAAAAGGGAGTTGTTAATTCTAAATTCATTCAAGTACACATATTTCGGTGAGTTGTTTCCTTTATTTTTCCAGCTATTTTATGAATTCTTCAGCAAGTAAATCAGTAGTTAATTATTTAACTTTGGGATTTCCCTCACTGGATTATAATTTTATTTTGTATTTAAGTAATTGCTTCTCCTTCAAATCCTCGAATTGCGCGTCTCGGATATTTACAATATTTTTGTTCAATTCATTGTAATTCACATTATATCATATACGCTACCATTCTAACCATTTCATATTTTATTATACAAAATATAATCTTTTGTATTTTCTAATTATTTTGAATTACATTTCTTTAATTGCCTCCGTCATATCATCTAATCATCGCGATCTTGTGAAAGGGCCCGTGCGGTACTAGCGTGTCTCCGGATCCACAAAAATATTAAGTCCCGTAATAATTAATTTTGTTAGGGCAAACAAATCTTCGATGCTTTATACGCGCGCTTCCCGCACGTAACACTGTAGTATAAGCTAAGCCTATCGTTTGTGAAACGCGAATCGATAAAGACCGATGTCTCTAAAAATCTTGTCTACGATTCTTTGTCAGCTTGCTGATTTTTATATCAGGTATCAAAGAATCTTTTATTATATTTCATAGCCGATAGTTTTTACACGATTAATCCAGTTGTTTTGATTAGGATTTCGTAGTATGTGGTAATATAATTTTCTTCTTTCTTATTCTTCCTTCCTTTTCTTTCTAGGCCTTCATCTTTCTTATTTTTCTACTTCTGTGATGAAGCGCACAATATATCGCGTATCGATAACTTTTTTTAGTCTCGAACAACGATGTATCGTTGTTAGAATACTTACGAAATGCAATTGGCATTCATTTATTCTCTCTTTATTTGTTAACCCTTATCGGTCGCTAGCTTTTCATACGTGATTCTAATAACTAGGATATAGCCGGTTTCTGTAAATCTGCGAAAAATCTTCAGTGTTATAAGAATAACATTTCTGTTAGAAATTATTTAATTTTTGAAGGTGTATTACAAGTAAAATACACTAATACAATATACTAATTTAACGTATTATATTTTTTTGAAATAACCTGCAACATGAAGGAATGGTTTCATTGCTATCATCACCATCGAAATTTCTGCAATTTTCCTTATTCATTTTTGGGCACAATATATTAAAAATTGAATACAGAAGGCAATGATATATCAGTGGAGACGTCAGTTGCTGTTGTTTAACCCCTTGCCGTCCTTTGACAAGTCTCGTTTGTGACGCACTTAAAATTCAAGTGTAATAAATCTTACTCAAATTTTGAATATTCTTCAACATAAAATTTAGGTCCAACTATAACTTACATAATTAAGGATCGCTGAATGTAAAATACAATATTAATTTTCTTTGTTTGTTTTAACGTTATAGCTAAGAATAATAGTTTTGATTGACGCATCTGACAAATAAATTGTACGGCAAGGGGTTAACTCACAAGTCAATCGTGTCCGTATTTCACAGAGCGCGAATTTTGTCAGGTTCGCTTGTCACCTCCCGCGTGATGTGCGACCGCAGCGACAAAGTACTGTTGTCACGTAAGAGGTGACTTATGACCGGTAAGGTTTAATATGTTCCGTTTTGAATTTTATAAACATCATTCATAAACTGCTGATTTATATGTATTTCTGATTTGTTGAGAATTACGTAAGATTTTTTGAGCGCTCTTGTTTGTTATTTTTAAATTTGAATTAGATCGTCACGCAGTGGATAGTTCTAATTCTAGATTGTTCATTTTGTTCTCAGTTAACACGTGATCATTCTTTATGCTCGATACCTTTTTCAAGCTATACTTGAACCCGTGTAATGCAATGTATTCTTGTTTTTTCTTGTGTTTGTTTAATAAATTACTTATAATCAACATATTTAAAAAATTAAACTAATTCATAATAAAATATGTAAATACTAAATTTTCATCAGAAAAGAAGTAATTTTCGTTCCTCCAGACATGTTAATGTGGGATCCTGCTTTCTGCTCGAATATGTAATCATAATTTTTCAGGGTATTTTACACATAGGATAAAAAAGCAATCAAATATTCAGCAGGGGGATATGTTTTTGTAAAAAAATACGGTGCGTCTAAACTTTCGATATGCAGTATATGTCGCTCGTCTCATTCCCTATGTTAATTTTAATTTAACCCATGCTTTCCAAAATAGAAATATTATAATCTAAAAACTTTGTATGAAACTTATTGTAATCAAATATAAAAACTTATGAAGACATTATTTAACAATGCTTTAGTAACTAACTGACTCCGTATCTATAGTTTTAGTATGAATACTGAAAAAGCAAAAAGAAAGAAACTGAATGATCGTAGTAACAAATTGACTTTGACCATAGTAGAATACTTACACGAATTACGAAACTTTTGTATTCAAATACATGTATAACACATATATATATAAATACATTATTACTATTTAGCATTAATCTTGATAAAAAAAACACTGTAAACATGTAACTACATGAAATAAATATTCTGTAAATGTTTATGAGAGTAACGTGAAGGTGTGTTACTTTCATGACGCCATTACTTTTAATCTGCTCTGCTACTATTTGATATATTCTTTAATTTTGGAGTATGATATTTTCGAAAGAAATCTGAAATTTTTTACATATCATTGATATTTTTAAAATTGTACCCTAATGAATTTATCTAGGACGTTTGATTATACTGTTCCTATTTAGTTTGACTTTTTTAATGATCATGCATATGTATAATTGCAGGCTTACAATCAAAGCAGGATGCCCGATGAACCTTGAAAACTTCCCGATGGATACACAAAGATGCCCGCTACAATTTGGCAGCTGTACGTTCGCAACTTGAAAGTACTTATAATTAGTGAGCATAATTTTAAATAGTAGTTAAAAATTTCTGTTTTATCTTTCGCATATAAAACATAAGTTCTTTTCATCCATTTCATATTTATAATAGTTTGATAGCTTTAGTTTTCTACTACTGCATCAGGTTGTCAAATTTTAAATAATCACCAATTCGGGATATTCACTGTTATATTTAAATTTTGCATAAATTAACATTTTATGAATGAGTGACTCGATATTTCTATTAATTGCTACAAAGGTCACATACAAATTATTTACATTACCATTAATACAGATCCGATTTTAACATAACTGTGCTAGATTTTAATGTTCTGCACAGGGTGTTCCACATAACCTAATCATTTTGAATATCTTGATTATTTTTTATGATAGTGAAAAATGTCATAAGGAAACATCGTTTTGTTCAAAGCAGCAAATTTTATGATGAGTACAAAATTTTTGTCAAGGTAATTTTTTACGAGACGTCAAGAATCAAAGTTTTCTCAAGTGGGACAACATAATTTTGCCACCAATACATCATTTATGAACATAAATGTGAAGACCACTTATCTTTAATTTGAAACTACAATAGTAAAATAAAAAAAAGGTAAGAAATGATGCAGAAACTACTTTATGTCTCTTTATTTCACAAATATTAGCATACGTTCTGACAGAAGTTCCTTAATAAATTCTGTAATGTAAAATTTGAAATCAGAGATTCGCCATTTTGATGAGTTTCATAAATCCGATGTTAAAGAAAATAAACGTGGCAAATATGAAACTGGTTTTGTGTTTTCATGGCAAAGATATTTAATGGTCACATTTAAATGCGATGCCCTGTATAAACAATTGCGGACACGTGATTAAATAATTTTTGTATTTTTGTTAAGTACCAATTACAGCGTGTCGCAAAAGAATACCCTTTGTTTTGTTTATTGTGTTTTACTTGAAATGGAAAATATACTTGAGACAATGATGGTGACCTAATATTTTTGGGACAGACTGTATGGCTTCCTCGATTTTTGCTTATCTGTCTCTTCCTGAGTTGCCTATCCTGTTTCCCCTTGACTTTTGACTCTGTTTGCTGTTCTTCTCCTTCACCTAGCATATTCATCATACGTTCTTCTTTTGTCTTTTGGCTTCCTTTTTTTCTACCTCCCTTATTCATGTTTCATCTTCTCTCGATCCATCGAACAATCTTTTTACGCTTCCCTGCTTTTTCTATCTCCCTACGTCTTATCACCATGTGCTGCAGGGTTCCCTTTCCATGTTGCACAGCATATTTTCGTCTGTTCATTATCCTGTTATTTTCTGTTCAGTTCTTCGCAACTGCAATAATCTTCTGATCTACAATAATCTTCTGTCCATTCCTTTCCTTATCAAGTATTTACTTATTCGTATAAGTAGCCTTATTCCGTACATTAAATCTTGTTTCATATATTCTGCTAACACTGGTTTTCTATTTATTCGTAGTGTCTCAAGAAGTACAATGAATATTGTATTGACCGTATGAACTATTTGGTATATTTCTATAAATATTTTTCCAATTATCAAAATATGTTGTTATATATATGTATATTTAAAGTACAGAAGTCCTCAGATTTGACCCCTTTATATTTCTGTTTGTAAATCTGAATGAAAAGCAATGTTTACAAAGTAGGAGTAAACACACGAGATGAACTAGTCAATTCGCATCATGAATTGTGTTTTCCTTATAAAAGAACGCAAAGACGATTTCAGATCTATAAATACGCGCGAGGAGAGTTAAAAAATGTATTGAAGTTGGAGTATCTATATTAGATTAGGATATTTGAACATCTTTTCTAAATTGTTGTAAGTTATTTGTTACGGTTTTCTACAACTTATATGTTAAGGAAACATAGTCAATAAATCTTCTTTTTTCTTTTCTAAAACTGTTTATGATTCATGTTTATAGGAACATTTTGAAACAGTCCATATTGTCATTTCGTAAAATTCGTATTTGTCGTGAAACACCCTGTTTATTTTGATTTACTACTTACACTACTATGCTTCGTCCTACCTTTTCCCTTCGACCGCTGCTAGTTTCTATGGTATTATTGTATGATTTGTAGACGTACGTGGGTAGACTGTTGAATTTATATGATTTGCGGTTTGGATTTGTTAAGATTTACTTGGTTCTTCAGATATGATACGAGAATTTGTAACTTACTGGCGCTCTCGTTTTGGTTTTATAGAGAATAAATTAATTTTAATTAAGGTAAAGGTACCAGTAGTTGACACTTCAAGGGATTTCTTGTCTATTTGTTCACATAGCTCAGATTAAGTTCACTTTACGGAAAATTTATGATTAGCAGTCGCTGCACAAACTATTCTTCTATTATATTACAACAAGTATTCATTACCGATGGTTGTAAATTTTTTTCTTTTTATCTTCTAAACGTAAAATTTAATTCAATAGTTGACACCTAGCAAAAACAGAAAATTTACTAGTTGACATCCTTTTCTTTCAGTAGTTGACATAGGGAGAAAATTCGATTAATGGACTAGTCTTGATAATGTGTGAATACAGAATTTTTTTAAACATCTAAAAAAAATCAGTCTTGAGTAAGTTCACAAAATAATATTTAGTAATTAAGGGTTAATATTAAGAGTTAATAATAAATATTTAATATGAAGAGTTCGACCACTCCTCATGTCGAAGGTATCCTCATATCAGTTTCTTATTGCATTTTCTTCTGAATCTGTCAATACTCTAGCTGGGACCATTTTCGTTTTAACTGGATGCTTGCCTTCAACCTTGTATTTCAAAGTTGTCGTCGGAACACTAAATTTCCCAGCTGCCGTTTTATGCGGAATTTTATGGAGCCGGACATCTTCCATAGTGGCTTGCATAATTTCTTCTGTATAATTTCTGAAGTTACCCTTCGTAGGAGGCATCTCAAAGTTGACAAAGGAACAAAGTCAGTAGTTGATACGTAGTAATTTAATAGTTGACACCCCATGTCAACTATTGAATAATAGACCATTACAAGTTTCAGTAGTTGACACGGAGTGTATTTAAACAATTTAGCATTGTTTGTTGCCAGTTTTAATAAATAAACCTCTTTCTAAATTTCAAACAACATAAAGGAATGCCTTTTTTACTCACAATGATTAAATAAATCAAACTTGCAATACTTACATTTTAACCAAATCCTTAGCGATTTATATCAGAAATCACTGATAAACCGTAAGAGCCGTGCCCAAGTTTGATTAATCAATTGCTATTACATTTTTGAATGGCGGATATGCACAATAGTTCGTAGTTAAGCCACTGAAGCATGACAGTATACAGATTAATAAGGTTTGATTATATTTACCCACGAATTCTTTACTGTGATTAACACTTTTGTGTCTACAAACTTCAGCATTAAGTTCTACGTAACTTATAACATAAATATACTATGGAAGATCATTAGAGCAGAGTTCCCTATTCGATATAATTACCCAAGTTTTAATCCCCCTGTATTTGAATATGTACGATTATTTGAAAAAATTGTAAAATTTGAAGAACCTTTTTCTTATAAAAGGAATCGTATCCGTTTTGCTTTCATTCACTGACAGCATACAGGAGGGGCTCCATCATATTTTTATGAGCAAGATACTGCTTGCATTCGCTTCAACAGTAACAGGAATTTGTTTTCGACTGATATTGTAAAATCGTTACTATAACTATGTCATTACACATTGTTGTTACTATAACATTGTCATTTACATAACACTGTCAAACAGTGTAAGGTCATCGACATAATCCTATCAGGTCATAGACTTAACACCGTAAGGTAATTAACATAGCAGTGTCAAAATGATAAAGTCTGCTGCACCAAAAATGCGTAGTAGGTCATTCATATGGTCTATAGAAGAAAAACGCCGCTCTACAATCATCCCTTGATCGCTATAGCCGCGGCCACACCTGAGTTTACTCTAATGATTCCTCATTGCATCATATTATCGACCTATCTAATAATCGATCTTCTATTCGATAACCGATCACTGCTTACTTTTCAATATTCATGGGAATATAAAAAATATTATCGATGACTAAAAATGCTATCAAATCCGTGTTATACTGAAATATATCTAATATAGTTATTTATTTTTCTAATGCTTTAAGTAAGGAATATGTTAAACTGCTTGTTTGAAATATTTAATGAAGTAATCACGCTTTCCCTTATTTTATCAATCTTCTGATAGAATAACTAGAAAGATCCTATTCGAACCTAGATTTTTATATCTTTTAAATACAATTTTTATAGAAAAAGTTTGCGTCCATCTGGTATAAAGGACATTAAGTGCAACGGAGAAGAATGACACTCTCAGCATATGGTTTCGATTGCATTTTGAATAAGTATCCCAAGTTTCGCGGCAATCGGTTGCATAGTTATTTAGTAATTCTTCCTTGCAATTAATCATGAGCTATGACTTTGGCGATACTTAAAGGTTAGTGATATCCTCGAACAGAGTACGTGAATGAAGTTCTGTTTTACTGCTAAAAAAAAAACAGCATCAGAAACAGTGGAGATGCTTCAAATTACTTTCTGTGACAAAAATCGTCAGTTTCTTGCCTTTTCTCATCTCGAACGAACATCAAGAGGATACTCAGAGGTCACAATTACAAAATTGCAGGAAGACAAGCGGAATTCACAATTATTTATCAGAAAACAGTCGCAATTTGGAAAAGAAGATTTTATGAAGACATACGTGCAGAACGATTTTCAAGGCGATATGTTATAAACACCATAAACCCCTTTGTGTGCTTTAACGAGTCTCATTCGTGATACACTCACAGCTCAAGTGTGATTAAACCTTGCTCAAATTTTGAATACTTATCAACTTGAAATTTAGGTACAACTATAATTTGTATAGTCAAGGATCGTTGAATATAAAACGCTCATAACATTTTAATTTTCTTTGTTTGTTTTAATATTAGGTCGAGTCATAAGTAACTTCCGATGCAGCTAAATAG